AGTTTAGCTCGACATGTCGGGGCTCAACTTAATAATATTCATCAATTATCAACAATCAATTCAAATATCAATCTCATAAAATATTATCAACTTCAATATCTTCCAATTAAATACCATCAACTGATTTATAGCGCATCAAATCAACTACAGTTTGATACTCTACTCAATACTCACACAGGTTTCTGATGTATGTTTTCAACAATGATAAATATCAACATCACAGCGATTAAAATAATTATTAAACGACTCACCCTACCGTTGATATGGCAAATATCATAAATCTCTACCTCTTATTGAATTGGAAAACATCACACACCAATAGAACCAAGATTACTCTGTGATAACTCACTCACACCAATGGAACCCAGATTACTCAGTGACAAACTCACTCACACCAATGGAACCCAGATTACTCAGTGACAAACTCACCTTTGAATAATAATTTGTAATAAACACTCACACTCGAACTCAAACTACCCCGATGAAGTGTGGGTTAAAACTAATTCTAACTCGACGATTTTTAGAGAATTGGTTCTTACAGTCTTAAAGACATCTGGTTTCGATCATCGACCACTCGGGGGTGGCTTGACTTGACCCTCGTAAATATTCCAAGTTTTATGGGTTTTCTCAGAAAAACTCTCGAGGTCTGTTTATAAAAACGTATTTAGTTAATTACTCGAGATTAGAAAACGATGTAAGTATCAGGAATAATATTGCAATTCACTAAAGAAAAGTGAGAAAAAAAAATAAAAATTACGGTGGAAAACCTTGTCTTACACAATGTACTATTTATTTTCTGATTATTTTCAAAGCCTACGTGATAAAAAATAAAACCAATCTTATAAGATGAATCCTATTTAATGCAACAAATACTTATTTAAAATGGATATCGTTCCTCTCCTGACAAACTGCAAAACGATCGTAACATGTATTCCTTACGTTTTGCAACATTTCGAGTGTGATTTGCGACAAAATCGAATAACATTGAGGACCTTAAAGAACGTTTGGAAATAAAATTAGGCAAATCATCCGAAATGTTGCAAAAGATAAGAAATGCATGTTACTTTTAATTTGCAATTTGCCCGGAAAGGAACAGTGTCCATTTTGAATATTTATTGAATTAAATAGTATTCAACTTAAGAATTTCTTCTTATTTATTACGTAGACTTTGACAATATTCAGAAAACCAATGCGTTGTATTGCTTGTGACGTGGGCTTTCAAATGAGGTGTCACTTGTCATACCATTACATTTGAAAAAAAAAGTTGTAGGTGGCTGCGCATTTCGGAAAGCAGATAAAAAAAAACACATGCGTCAAATGATGCCCAAGGAAAAAAAAATCGACCTGTTTCAGGATTTTTTACAAAAATCGCTTATACGCAAATTATGAATTTTATTCCAGTTAAAAATTCCACTCTGTATGTAATACAAACATAAACACAAAGATGGACAGAATTTCACTACTGCTGAGGCCGAGTCTGAATGAAACATACACCCAGTTATGTGATTTCCCCAATTTTCTGACGGTCAGTCATAACAACAACACATGCGCACATGACATGCTGTCCGCTTAATAAAGAAGAGATGTTATTTTCAACAGTAGCGGATCTGGGGTAAAATTTTTAGTTAGGCGAAAAATTACTTTATTGTAACAATTATTTTCATTTTTTTATATTCTAATTCGTGTCCTATTTTTAATTCTTGAAAATTTGTCTATAACTAAATTACAAAAAGTATTCTTTTGCTCAGAATTGAAAAACAATAAACCAAATGAAATTAAACTAAGCGATGACAGTTTATCTTGATCAGTTTTGTTCCTCAAGTATGTTTTAATTCGTTTGAGACACGAAAAATATCTCTCCACCGAAACACTGGTAGCAGTGGAGGCAAAGTAAAAATCAAACTGGCCAATTTGAAAACCTGAGGGAAAATGTCTTGCAACTCATTTTCTTTCATTTATTTTATAACATCTTTTAAGTCACATTTTTTAAGTTCTTCATCGTTATAAATGACTTAGAATTTTTTTTCCAATTTATCTTTTTTTCAAAGAAGCAATAGTGGCTTACTAAATTAGTTATAAGATTGTTTGATGTTTTTTGCAACCGCTTCATAATTTCTATTATGCAAAAGTCCCACAAATGAAATTTTTTCGATGTCTTTAACTCGGTCTAAATCTAAACTAACTAACTAAAAACGGGGTTGGTTTTGATTCCATAATTTCTCGTCTTTCTGTGTCACTTCTACGAGAAAACGACACTTCCTTCAATAATAATACAATGTTCATCGTTGGAAATATTTTTATACAAGTAGGTACACTACAGTAAATAATTTAAGAAATATTTCACACAATTCAATAACGACATCGATTCATTTAGATCAGTAAATTTCAAATGAGAGTTGCGAAACAAATCGAAAGGAGCCGAAATTATCGCCTCAGTCGAAGGAGTACAGCTTACCTATATCAAGAGCGCGAGAGAGAAAACTAAATCACTGCATTTGCAGAGGAGATACTCAACGTCGCCTCTGTTTGAAGACTTAAATAGTAAATTAATTTTGCGGCACCGTCCTACGTTTGATTGGAGGGGTATGAATGGGCAAAGTTAATATAATTTGAAAATTAGAAAAATAATTTCCAAATGGTTTTACACGTTTTTTTCTCTTATTTTCTAATGAGGCGGTGCCTAACTTGCTTCACTGAGAAATCCACCGTTTCGAATTGGACTGTCCTCGTCCGTTTATGAGAGAGTCCGTTTATCAGAGGAACAACGCCATTTGAAATACATTACTACATTAGTTAACAAAAATGTCCGTTTGATACAGGGGTCCGCTTATAGGAGGGGCGGAGGGGCTTTTAAGAGAGATTTCACTGTATACCACAATAGAGATTGAATGAATTGCGACACCAGGTTCACTTGAATCTGTACGCTTGAATAATATGCGGAAAAAGTATGTGCACATCATATTGGAGGTCCGGAAAAAACGTTGAAAGATTTCTGGAACAGGCTTCCTAGGTCAAAAGAAAAACAAAGTTCCTAACAGCCTATGTTTAGAAACCGGAAGACAAATTTACAAAAGTTAGATCTGGAGTAATTTTTTGGCTTTTGGTGATATCAAAAAATGTGTACTATAATTAGGGGGGCGGAGGCACTATGGTTAATTCATTTAAGTTGTAAAATTTTGCTTTGGAATAAGTGTTTTGAAATTTGTTTGGCAAATTCGGACTTATTGGCTAATTTTCCGTGCACCGACTTCAATTCTGATAAGCAACCCACGTAATGAGTTTTGTCATATAAGACCGAGTTATCGGATAGCATTTCCGGAGAAAATACAGTCTTTTGTCAAATGTATTTCACTATTTCTCAAAACTATTTCCCACCTACGTCGCTCTAACATTAATATATCAAATGAAATAGTTTTGAGCGTCGTCTGCGTTGATTGACGGTAAAATTTGTCTTACTAGATAAAATTCAAATTTAGAAAAAAAGTTACAGGAAGCAAATGTAAGATTTCAAAAGTTGAATAAGCTGTATGAAAAAAAACTTGAAAAACATCCAGAAGAACTTTAAACAGATATATGGGAAATTCTCAAGGGGATCCAATAATTTAATTAAAAACAGAATAACTGTTCAAGGCAATAATTTAAAAGACGTTGAGAAAATATGTTCCTTTATTGTAGATGACATGGCCATTACAGAAAAAAAAAAAAAACAGAAGATACATTTTACGGCATTGCAAATACTGAGAACGAAATAATAGGAAAAAAGTCCATTTTAGCCAATAAACTGTTGTGCTTCGTTATTCATGGATTGTTTACCAAATACACTATTCCCGTTGGATACTTTTTTTTTATTCGAAGTATTGAAGAAATAATAAAGAGTTGTTATTGTAATATGTTAATGCTCTTGTAAATTTGTAAAAATTAAAAATAACTATCTAACCCAAATGTAAATCTTTATTTTTTTAAATAAATAAAATTATATTTGCGTATAAAATGTGTTAATTTTTAATGTTTTTCGTCTAGTTCTTTGAAAAAATTAAAATTAAAAATAAACAATTACGCATTTATTATTATACATAAAACACAAAAGTAAATTTTTGTATACAAAAATTTATCAAGGTTTCAAACCAAAATATAGAGATTCCATTGGAGCAAGGACTCGTCGCTCCCCAACGGCCATTTTTTTGGCATTGCCAAAAAATATTTGAATGCGACAGATGACAAATTGACAACTAAATTGACAAGGGCAAAACCTTTAGAAAATTCTATTTTCCGTAATTATTAAATTCTAATTCCTCATACATATTATTCTAGTGTTATTTGGCTGTATAGGCATTGTACCTAAATAAAAAAAATCAAGTTTTTTCAATTATTAGGACAAATTGCTAACAAATAAATTTAAATCTAAACACGCGCGAAAATCATAGCTTGTTTGTTATTGCAAAAATCTTTACCAAATTTTGCCTGCAAAGCGAATTTACAATTCTGAATTAAATTATTAATGACATTTTGAAAAAAGGGTAAACTCATTTTCTTGAAGAATGAAAAACAAAATGACTTTTTTTTGTAAATGTTGACGCAAGTACAAAATACGCCTACAGGCTGCTTCACATAATTTTAGGAGCTCTACACTTGTAATAGTATATAACATTACTTGCAAGGTAAGAGGGTTTTTACTGGCGAATGGAGGATATAACTGACGAGTCGCAGGCGAGTCAGTTACCTCCTTGAGCCAGTAAAACCCGTTACCTTATTGCGTGTATTGTTTTATATTTTATTTGTTTCTCATTTGTAAAAAGGTTAGACAAATTTAAATTTCGATTACAAAAAAATTCTCAATAATTTGTCGTAAACGTCGTAAGCTATGGAAGCGTTACCATGAACATGTATGTTTATTTTTCTTTTCATTTGTTTTGGCGAAAGCGAAAATGAATGTGCCAAAAGAAATTATTCAGGAAGCCAGCAGTGTAGCTTCAAGTTTGTTACCTGCAAAATCAGTTTCAAGGTACGAGCGAGAAGACGACGACTTCAAAAACTGGCAGAACAAAAATAGTTTGATTGGGGTAACTGAAGATATTTTGTTGGCCTACGTGAATCCACGATACCATCACGGCACCTCTAGCGCTGCCGTGGAACCACGTCTTCGCTAACCAGTAAACCAGTATACCTTTGCTAAGCTTGTTGAAGGGAAACTCAGGGTACAGGTTAGACTACTAGTCTAATCTGTGCCAGGGTTTAATTATAAAGATTCACCAGCTAAAATCTAGAGATATCTGCTGTTGCCTCACCACAGTATTGCTAGTTGCCGACCTTAAAATTGTATTACTAGTTGCCTAAGTCGGCTTCGCTTAATACCTTCTCAGTTTCAGCAGATCTTGCATTGCATCGTTTTCACATAAAAATGAATAATATAGGTGATAACAAGATAAGATAACATTAAACAGTTTAGTAATAGACGACAATGTGGTCACTTAATATAACATTACTTTTGCTTCTTATTATTTTTAGCACCTCGTGTTCTAGTCAAGAAATTAACAGTGAGTAAAAGTTTGTTTCACATACTTAGTTTCATTTTTAAATTCATTTATTTATGTTCATTGTATCTTTTAAAATAAATGAGGCGGGGCTGAATGTTATAGATATGAGTAATATACAGGATTATTCATAAATATGAAACAATTGACCTATAAAATGATGTTAATTTAAATAAAAACTCGTGTCCTCGTGATAAAATTTTTACAGCCCTTTGGGATTTGGGTATGGGATTTTTTTTGTAATAATTTCGGAACCATTTGACCAAATATTATAAAATTTGGAGTAGTTACTTGCGAGAACATACCCTTTAGGCTAGTAATTACGAAAACCGGATACATCTACTCAATTTCCGGTTTCAGTTTCAACAGTTACTTACCTTTTAAACTGGTAATCAATTAATCTTAAAAACCGGATACATCTACTGAATTTCCGGTTACTGCAGTTGCAGGTCAAATTTTCTGTTTTTACCGTTTTTTTTTTTGCTTTCTTAACACTAATTTTTTATTGGTCAAATCGATAGAGTAATCAATTTCGAATAAAAAACACAAAACTTTTTATATCATTAAGATGGACTGTTTCAAAGATATTTTAATTTAAAGTGCGAGGACTGCACAAGGTTGAAATCAAAAATTATCACACGCTGCAGCGTGCGTAATTTGGCCTTTACAGCACACTGAAATTTTAAAGTTGTCTAGGTAACAAGAAATAGTGAAATGTCTGGACCAATTACAACGTGAAAAAATGCGCTTAACAACGTAAACTAGTAACCGTCTCTACGAAAACGATTCATAAACAACCTTTGATAATTATGTTGTGTAAATTCACATTTTTTCAATGCTCATAAAAGATCGTAAATGGGCAGGTATAATAAAAAATAGCGTATAACACTCGTTAGCGTATAACACTCCGCTGACACGTCGTGCACTTAAACCCGTCGTGCGTGTTTTAAAGGCTTGCTTATAAACTAGTATTATAATATACTATTATTTGCTGACTAAAACCATCAGAAACTACCAACGTTCGAATAAGACAAGTTGAAATATTTTTGCATTTTCTGTCCTCTACTTTTACCTCTTAAAATTTCTGCATAACTTATTAAAATCACCCTGTAAGTGTAATATTAAAATAAGAATACATACTTAATTATTATTGTTTATGGAACTGATCATGCATTCAGTTTTTGCAAACCTGTAGGTTTATAATTTAGGTTTTATAATTATGAATTATCGTTTTTAAGAAAAAATATGTTCGACAACGCCTGATAGTAGTTCTTGTCAACAAATAGCTAGAGATTTGGAAGTTGCATGTAATTACAATAAACATAGGTAAGTGTTCATAAATAAAAAATGAAATAATATTATAAGAAATTTTATTGTAGCGTTGACTGTCTTTTAAATATACAAAGCAACAAAACCCACCTCGGCAAAATCACGGGTGATGAGGCTTTGCTAGGAGCCGGAGCTGATCTTTTGTCTGAAGATGTAGTTGTTTTGGGAAAAATTACAAGTCGTATGTAAAAATCAATAATTTAATCATTGGTTTCACTTAAGTCTTTTTAAACAGATCACCCATCTTCAGAAACAGTTGTCATTATTAAAAGCGACGTTGCTCCCAATATTGCGAGTTTGGAAGGCAAAAGTTTATGTCATCCAGGATATAAGCACGATTCGAGTTTCTCTCATTCTATGCTACAAGAGTTAGAAAACAAAATTATTGAAATAAACCCTCCCGAATGTCGTGATGATGTCACATTGCTGGAAAGACACATAAAAAAGCTCAGTGAATTTTTTGGGGCCTCATGTAGACCCGGACCATGGACACAGAATGATGAATTTGATAAAACTTTGAGTAAGTTAGGCGACTTTTATTATACTAAAAATTATATTGTTGAATTGTTGTAGAGACAAAATATCCTTCTTTGTGCAAGCTTTGCACCACCGAAACTTGTGAGGAAAATTATTCACAACCCTTTAATGATTCGCTCAAGTGCTTACTCAAAAAAAATGCAGATGTAGCGGTTTCAACTTTACAAGAAGCACAACTATTTTTTGCAAACAGTGATAACTCCAACAAGTACAAATATTTATGCAAAGATGGTAGTGTTAGGTCATCTGACTCACATTGTACTTGGACGAAAAAACTTCCTGATCTTATAGTTGCAAACAGGTAAAAAAACATACCAATTTAAGTATAATATCTATCATTTTATTTAATAGGCTTTTGGCTGGTGAAATGAAAAAATATCTACAAAATAATTTAGGATCCCACATAACTTATAACTTAACTCAAGCAAATACGTTTAAAAGCAATTTCGAAGAAGATTTAGTGGTGTTACTTGAGCTTCAGTATGGTCGAAAAATAACATTTTTAGAAAATAACGGATTTTTAAGTCTGAAAAATTATGTTAACGGTATTGACGAATTCAGGGAATATCAAAATGGTAGCATCAAATATCTTTTTAGATTTCACCACAGTTCCTGATGCTAAAACATTCAAACAATGTGATCGTACTTTAAAATGGTGCACCTTCTCCAATGTGGAAACAGAAAAATGTAAATGGTTATCGCAAGCTGCTGTCAATTGGGGAATACAGCCAGTTGTTGAATGTATTAGGAGTGATGGAGACGACGAATTGTCATGTTTAGATGACATTAAAAAGGGGGATGCTGACATCGTCGTTGCTTCCTCTGATTACGCTTACATATCTTTAAAGTATAGCGTTCTTTAGTTGTTGCAAAGATTTAATTTTTTATTTTGTAGGAAAGGACTGACAAGTGTAGCGTTTCCAGAAACAGACACAAGGAATTTATCACAAATATTTATTGTTAAAAGAGTAGACGATGCATCAATCAAGTCTTTTAGTGACTTGAAAGGAAAATCTGCTTGTATTCCACAATTTGGAGGAAAAGGTAAATATAAATATTTACAGAAAAGAAAAATTCTATGCGTCCAATTAAATTTCTTTTTTAATTGGTCTGCACTTTTGAAATCAAGTTGGCAACAATATATACAGTATGTATACGGATTGAGTTTACAAGAGGAAAAAAAGTGTATTACATAATGAGCACGGAAAGTGATAAATAACGCACGAGGCATTAACCGAGTGCAGGCAATACCGCGAGTGCGTTAGACACTTTCCTGCAAGTTTTGTACACTATTTTTCCTACGACCATAAATAATTTTTTTCTTACGAACGTATTTTTTTTCATAACGATTTATTTTTTATAATGGATACAAAAATACGTTGAATAACGATTTATTTTTTATAATGGATACAAAAAAAAATACGTTAAATGAAAAAATACAAAACATTCGAGTGTGAATTGTGCGTTAGATTTCTAACACACAGTGCGAACACAAATCTCACAGGTTTTTGACCTCGTACGATATTGCCAATTTTCGCGCATATGTAATTGTGCGTTATGATCTAGTTTCGTATATGGTCGTAGAAAAAAAATATCTTTGATTTTACGCCAAAACTGCAAAGGAAAAACATGTTTTGCTTCACCTGAAACGAGCAAATCTGTACTTAAAACTTTATTATTCTGATTCAGTGAAAAGAAAGGTTAATTTTTCTCTCGATTTTCGACTTTTTAAAATTTTAAAAATTATGTTTTTCATAAACATTTTTGTTATTTAACTTGTCAAGGGACATCATTGTCAAAATAATAAAACCGCCAATGTGATAGGACTTAAAAAGCAGAGAAAAATTATTCTAAGTTCAAAATCAAGAGGAAAATGAACTTTTCTTTCTACTGAGTTAGAATAATGAAGTTTTAATTACAGATTTACTCGTTTCAGATAAAGTAAAAATGTTGCAGTTTTGTCGTAAAATTAAAAACTCAATCCGGGGACATACTATATATTGCGATTTTTGTCATCAAACAGGTAGCAAGTCTAAAAAATCGATGTTAATTCTGGTTTACAAATTTGTTTTTGATAAATTGCTGACTATATAAGGTGATTCTTTTAGGGCCTACATTAGATACTTTTTAACTTCGAATGCAGATTGGAATTTGAAATTTTGTACACAACCCAAATCAACCAGTCTGAGTTCAACTAAATTATTTTCAAAATGGCTGAACTTCCGGAACTACGAGAAATTGAACTTTGAAATTTTAAATGGTACCCACTTATTTTTATTGCATTTTTGAATTCTCCTCTTTAAACTAAGTAAAATGTACCTAGTTATTAGTACTTATCTATCATAGTTTTTGACATTTGTCAATTTTTTGGTCAAAATTTTTACTTGCAGGGGTTCATTCAAAACATCACAGCTCTTCAACCCTTTGCGATAAGTGAATATTTTTTTTGCATTCGAAAACCAAAGGTTCGAAAAGTTTTCTCGAATTTTCAAAATTGTCGACTGTCAAATTGCAAGGCTAGTATGTTTTTTTGAAAATGATCATTAACAAACAGCTATAACTCAGTATTTTCAAATGAAATGACTCTATTTTCTCAACGGCAATCAAAAGTACATCAATGTGTAGAAGGACTTTTATCAACATGTCCTATACCTATCTCTTACAGTTTTTGAAATAATCACAAAAAAAATGTTAATGTTTTTATATTTATAGTTAATCACATAGGCTTTGGAAAAATACAATAAGATATACCATAATTAATACAGATGTTCGATATGTTTACCATTTTCAAACAGTCCAAAACTCGATGGTGAACTGATTTGAGTGGCTTCCATTAGTTCATTTGGTACAAGATTATTAAATGCCGCCTCAATCTTTGCCTCAATTCTTTGTAATTCCGGATGGGTGTTGTGTAGACTAATAAATCTTTAATACGTCTTGATCATTTTCCAAAGCCTACGTGATTTACTATAAAAATAAAAAACAAAAACACGTTTTTCGTGATTATTTCAGAAACTGTAAGAGATGGATACAGGACATGTTGATAAAAGTCCATCTACAAATCGATGTAAGTACTTTCGATTGCCGTTGAGAAAATGGGGTCATTTTATTTGAAAAAACTGAGTTATAGCTGTTTGTTAAATATCATTTTCAAAAAATCATATAAGCTTTGCCATTTGACAATTTTGAAAATTTTAGGAAACTCTTCGGACCTTTGGTTATCAAATGCAAGAAAAATTATTTACTTATCGCAAACGGTTTAAAAGCTGTGATGTTTTTAATAAACCTCTGCAAATGAAAATTTTGAGCAAAAAATTGACATATGTCAAAAACTATGACAGATAAGTACTAACAACTAAGTACATTTTAATCAGTTTAAAGAGGAGAATTCAACAATGCAATAATAATAAGTGGTTACCATTTAAAATTTCAAAGTTGGCTCCAATTTATCGTAGTTCCGGAAGTTCAGCCATTTTGAAAATAATTTAATTGAACTTAGACTGGTCGATTGAGTTATGAGTTATGTACAACATTTCACATTTCTATCTACATTAGAAGTTAAAAAGTTTCTAATATAGGCCCTAAAAGAATCACCTTGTGTAATAAGTAATAACACAACACCTACCTGTTGTTAACAGAACACTTGGCTTTAATTGATACTACACGAAGACTTGGAATAACCGACAAGACAGAGTGCGATTATGGCCAAGTATTAAATAATTTTATTGGGGACTCTTGTGTCCCTGGAGTGCGATCCTCACTCATAAAAGAATCTACAGAATGCGTTGATAAGGATAAAATGTGTAAGCAATGCAGATCCGTAAATGTAACTAAAAGTAAGTCTTAATTATAATTACTACATTTTAATTTTACCATTACATGTTGTAAATTTTAGCTGCAGAATATTGCAACGCTGACGAGATTAATGCCTATTTTGGTAGTCAAGGTTCTGTCAATTGCCTTTTGATGAATTATGGAGATTTTGCCGTAGTTTCGAAAAAAAGTGAATTTTTTATTACATTTGTTTTATTTTTTTTATGAATCTATTGATTTTACAGGTGTATTAAATGATACAAATCTTAGAGCTCTGTGTAAAAATAACTCTTTAGCAGCAACGAATGGTTTAGACGTTGACGATGATTGTGCATTGGTTGTACTTGCCAGTAGTGAAGTTGTTTTAAAAAACGATACCAACAAAAAAAGTGATATACAATTAGCACTGTATGAATTCGAAAGGTGGTTTGGTCAAAACCCAAAGAAACCGTTTCACTTGTTCGACAAATTTGACAATAAACCAGACCTTTTGTTTTTGGTAAGTTATAATGTATGTAGAAACCGGTTTTTAGGGCGTTAAAAAATGCTAAAAAAGGATCTTAAAAAAGGACAGTAAAAACATAAAATAAGATATTATAATAGGAAAATAGGTTATAAAATCCTAGAGAATAATAATTTTTTATTTATAATATCTCAGATAATAACAATTATATGTTTTATAAAAAATCAATATCAGTATGTTCCCGGATTGAGTATACAAAAGTAAAAAAAATGTATCATTGACTTTACTCCAAAACTTCAAAAGAATCATATTTTTTGCTTAATTTGAAACGAACAAATCTGCAATTAAAACTTCATTATTTTGTCTTGACGATCTTGATTCTAACTCAGTGTCATTCATTTTTCTACTGACTTGTAATAATTATTGTTATTGCGTAAACTATGTTGCTTTGTCCAAAATCAAGAGAAAAATGAACTTTGACTGACACAGAATAATAATAAAGTTATAATTACAGATTGGTGCGTTTCTTATTAAGCAAAAATGTTATTTTTTGCAGTTTTGGGGCAAAATCAAAAAAAAAATCCTCTTAAAAACCCAAGAGTTCCTATATTAGAAATATAGGAAGGAATAATGGGTTTGGAAGTCTAAACCTTACTTGTTTTATTGTACGCCTTTTTAAACCTAGACAATTTTAAATTATTCTATTTAGCCTTAAATATGAAGTAGGTTTGCGTTACTTACTCTTCTAAGAAAATTGATAATTTTTAAAAGTTACATTATCAGTTATCACTAAGGCACGGATTATATGCACGATAAATTGGTAAAATATGCGCATATATATGCACGTATTTTCACAAAAATATGCACAAAATATAAAAAAATACGCTCCAATATATTACAAATATGCATCGATATGCAAAATTTTTTAACAATAAAAATCAAAGTTGGGATAAATTTTTATCCTCGAATACACTAAACTTTGTATTTTCGTCATCTTGAACTGCACACGATAAATGAAAGAATAAATAAATTGGTTTGGCGTGAGACAAGCCATTTTAATAACCTAGTAATTAACCCTTTCTAAGAAATCTGTACTTTTCAGATCACATCACGTTTTTTGCTTAAAGTATTTATTTTTTGAAAAAGTAATTGATGAATTATAAAGTTCTATAGAAATGTGATGTTTTATGAAAAAATTTTTATTTTGTTTTTGAGTTCTACAAAATTGTTTATTTTTTTAAATGGCAACCCATCCAAAAAAAACATTTTTCTCATGAAGGTCAAGATCTAAGGGATTACAACTATTTACTTTATATTAAATTATTTTTTTTACATATGTACATATGTAGGTATATCGCAATTTAGACAACAAAAATCGAATAACTCAAAAACAAAACAAAATTTTGTTCTTAAAAAAAGATCATTTAATATTTGTTATTATTTTTTGGAAACAAATGATTTAAAAAAAAAACCGCTTGGTTCAATACTTTATAATCATCCAGTATAAAACGAATTTAAAAAGGAAACACTCAGCAGGGTACTAATTTTTTGAGTTTGGCTTACGAATTACCGGTTGTTTTCTCTTTAAAATATTTTGTAATCAGATCATTTTTCTTAAACTGTCCAATTTTTAACTGGAACTGAAATTTTTAATCGGAAATTAGTGATTTGAAAAAAATATACACAAATATGCAATGTTTCCTAAAATAGGCACCAAGTTGCCAAAATATGCAAAATATGCATTTTTTATTTGGCTTATTTTAATCAAAAAACATTAGATATGCATAGAGAACTTACAATTTTGTTGATATACCTGTTATAAATAACAAATATGCATTTTGCATATAATCCGAGCCTTAGTTATCACCATACATCAATCAAGAAAACAGGTTGTTTATTGAAATACTGAGTAAAACTCAAGGAACGCTAATTGAAATTTGAATTCAATGCAAGACATTAATTATAAAAATTACAAAATGTAATTAATTCTATAGCAAATATTCAAAAATCCTGCCGTTCCTCTTCAAACAGACGTCTAGTCTACGCATAAAGAAAAGTTTGATTGCCTTTAGTATTTCAACAGAGATGTCATTAAAGGCTTCAATTATTCTCTCATTCATGTCATTTGGAGTGGTGGATCTTGTTCGATACACCTTCTCTTTAACATACCCCAATAAAAAGAAATCAATTGTAGTCAATTCTGGAGATCGTGGTGGTCAGACAAGAGGTAACTCCCCCCCGAATCTATCGATTAGGGAATATGTTCCTCAAAAATTGTCGCACAACGCGATGAAAATGAACAGGAGCTCCATCATGCTATAGCCACATTATTCTACATTCTCGAACAAACTTGAATGATGTATGGCGATAGCGTAACTTTAAAAAAGTATCTAACTTTTTTAGAAGAGAAAGTAACGCAAATCTACTTAATTTTTAACGCTAAACAGAATAATTTAAATTTTTCTAGGTTTAAAAAGGGGTACAATAATACAGGTAAGGTTTAAACCTCAAAACCTCAGTAATAACATACAGTGTGTTTCATTAAAAAAATCAAGTTACTTCATATTTTGATTATTTTGCGAATGTCAACGCTCTGCAGTAGTTGTAAAAGATTAATCGAATGTCTACCATAATAATTTAGGACCAGACTCTACTGATTCAAAATGGTTGCAATTGTTTTTATTCACGTTTCTTTCTAGCAAAAATGGCATTTTTTTTTCATAAAATTGCCCATAAATGACAAACGGTTCATGATAGGTCCATAAAACCTAATACGAATTTTCTTAGATGTTTTTTTTTTCAAATAAGCGCTTAATATATTGAGTGTTCCATAAGAAAAAATATAACTTTGTTGGGCCACCCTATAGGTATAGGGATCACCTATAATGACGAAAATATTTTTATATCTTAGAAAAAATAGATGTCTATCGTTCAAAAGAAACCGCATTTCGTTATCTTCTTTACTGTCAGAGTAATCGAAGATTACACCCTGTATGTTATGAAATCGAGTAAATTTATTCAACCTAAAATCAACTTAATAAAAAATGTTTTTATCCCTGTTTTTTTGATCAAAGTGGCCTGCAGTTCTGAAATGACCAACTTTATACAGGGTGCGCCAGAACTCGCACCCCAGAGAAAAATTTCAAGTAAGATAAGATACCAGGAACATGGAAAAAATGTTTAAAAATTGTATCTGTCAAAAAAATTTGACATATTTTTTGACATTTGACATTTTTTATGTCTATTTAATGATACTGATAATCTTATTGTATATGTTTTTTTTAATTATTTAGTAAAGATACAAAAATTTTGCCAATAAAAGCCACAAATAACATTAAACAAAGTTACAATTTAGAATACAGCTTCCTTGTGTTCTCTTCTAATAGCCTGCAGCAAAAAAACTTGGAAAATTATTTTTCCAACAGAAATAAATAGTCAAAGTGCAAAATTTAAACTCTCATAACTTCGAAACTTTTATAGATTAATTTTTTTTAACATTTTTTACATGTTCCTGGTATCTTACCTTATCAGGCATTTTTCTCTGGGGCGCGAGTTTTGGCGCACCATATTGGCAATTTCGGATAATGTGTGGGTGTCAATTCTCACACTTTTTTTTAATAAAACAGTGGCTAATTTTAATTTAGAATCACCACAGCTCTCTCAGATCGGAAGTTTAATTCAAGACATTTTTTTCAGGATTCTACGCCCGGATTAAACTTTGAAGGAAATTTGCATTATATTAAGGAATACAAGGAGTTACTAGATAATGTGCTTAAGTGTAACACAAGCGCTGCACCAAATATGACATTTTCGACATCTTTTATTATTAGTTTCTTTTTATTGACATTGTGTTTTACTTTTTAATAATTGTAACAATGTACCTATAACGACTCTATTTTACAATTATGTACTGTTGAGGACGTAGAAAACTAAGACACTGACAAATCCAAAATTTTGTCGTAAAATATACCCTGAAATTGCAGATTCTAAAATGTTATTTAAATAATAGGTACGAGTAGAGTTACTCCCAAATAATGAACTTAAATTATGTAGACAGAAATTATTAATATTTTATTGCAACACTATCCGAATCTGCAAAATTGAATTAAATTGAACCTATAAGTACACTTTACAAATTTTTAAAATAGCAAATGGAATGTCTTAGTTTTTAAGGACCGCAACTGTTCTCATATCATTTTTGATAACGACTAATTATAGCTACTGAACTACATGAACATATTTACCTATTAAAATTAACATAAAATTATGTACGTACTTAAATAAATAAAATTCATTATATTAAATTACGTACTTAATATAATGTTAAGTACAGCGTGATCATTTAGGACTGTTTAAGTTGGCAAAAGATTTGATAGTATTTTTGTTAATAATTTGTAACATTGCAACCGAATACCGTTTTGTTTTACAAATACTTGACGTACACCCCCTCAAGATTATTAAATTTTTGTTAATCCCTTTAAAAATTAAAGTCAGGATTGTCAACACATTCATTCATTCTTGATCACTTTGATATTGATACTTTTTAATAACATTAGGAAATTTGAATTTTAATAAGGAAAAAATGTGTAATTTAAACTTTAAGTGTGTACCACGGCGCACAAGAAAAGGGACATCAGTTTTTTGACACTTTTTCAAAATTTGTAGAGCAGGCAAATTCAAAACCATCAATCAATGTAAAGTTGCAATTAATTACAAGGATTCTTTAGGTAAGAATACATTTATTAATGTCAACAGAATGACTCCCATTTTTTTGTCCGTAATGGTACATTTAGTTATCTAATTTAAAATGACCTATGACAGGGTGTCAAAGTAATAATTAGAAAACGTGTTTTCTTGTTATCGAGTTTAAAGTGTAGCATTTGTTTTGAACGTTTAGAGAATAAATATTTTGCCTCAAAAATGTGTTTTCAAATTCAATCCACTTTGTGAGATTTTAATGAAAACGGAAACAGAAAACGTGGTAAAGCAAACGAACTTTAAAACCATAATCTTATCTTAGGCTAACTTAATGTCTTTAAATGGCAAAAGAGGTGAAACTGAGTTTTTCGAAGCTATTTTTTCTGAATTCAAAAATATATATCTTATTTTTCATCAGAAATTATGACATCTAATAGGATTTTAGTGAGGTTAATTACAAAGGATAAGTGTAAAAATTTAATCGAGACAACTGGAATACATTTTAGAGTACACTAATAGTAATTTTAGTTAATAGACTTAATTTGAGTTCAGATCCAAGCGACCCAACCTTCAAACATCCTTCCAAGTAAATTGTAATCATTAGCATGATCTATAAGACAGTCTACTTGATCTTCCTCTGACAAACCATCTTCTGACATTCTAGCTCGTACATTATAATCTGGACTTCCTTTAACCAGCGCAATATAAGCCTTCATGTACGCTTCATTTTTCTGGTGCCCCGCAATTAAATCTTCAATCATAATACTGACGGAATTTGCTCCAGCCAGTTTTCTTCTAGCTTGTTCTATTTTTTGGGTGGGATACCACTGACAAATGGATGTGTCCACACCAGTTCGAAATCTCGAAGCATGCTCTAGCCAATCAAGTGAAGGTTCTTCAATGAAAACATTCATAGTAGACAATAAAGAAGCAGAATTCGTTCTTAGAGATCGCAAGCAATGCACCATGATTTCCCTAAATAACCCCGTCGCTCCTAAAGGCTCCATTAAGTTGACAATGTGAGGTGTTAAACGAAATGGAACCAGTTCTGGCACTGGTAAGATTTGTGTTGCTGTACCAAAGGCGTGACCAAAATCGATACTCAAAACTTTACCGCTATTCAAACATATCAAGGAATTTGATAGATGGCGATCTCCTACACCTACTATCCAATGGCTAGCACACATAACTGCATAACTTTTGATAAAATTATTTCGAAGTGCAAAGAAGCCTTCAGTGTTGCTGCTTAATTTTAAAAATGTAGATCTACAATAAATACGTAGAAATATTTAAGGTAACACAGAAAAATAATAATAAACCTGAAAACATCCCAGCTAATCATGCTAACCAATGTTTTGAACTTAACTAATGTTTTTTCTCGCGAATACTTCATTGCTGCTCTTCCATAAGCATCTAAAGCTTGTTGATTTGCTGACGTATATATCCATTTTGTGTAAGTTTCAACAATTTTGTCAAAATTCTGATCATTCGTACTTTGAGAAAATTCCTGCAGAGATTTTGTGTTGCCAATCCACTGTATTATACCTAAACTTGTTGTTAATGGTATGACCTGAAAGTTTGACGCTAGCTTCAAAAAACTTTTAAAAAAGTCGTCATACCTGGTACGTAAGTATATGAAATTCACGTCCTTTCAAATTTATATCGTTTTGAAAAATATTATTCATCAACGAAAAAAGCTGTTGAATTCGTTGATCCTGTCGAACGTCTTCACCAAATTTTACAAGAAACGGATACTCCTTAGTATCATTACCCAAAATTATAATTTTTATAGGTTTTCGCAATGAACTCATTATGGAAACCTATAGACATATGAGATATACATTTTGAATAAATATAAGAAACAATCGTACGTTTGGAGAAAATCCGGATATCTTAACATGGTGTTGAACAAGTGGTATCCTTTCACCATCATACTGACCAGGAATTTCAAGTTCAAAATTACTTTTGTTTGTGGAAAAATTAGCCAACCAAGGACAATAGTCTTTAAGTAGACGCGAATTCTTCTGATTTTCCTTTCGATCCTGTAGTGTATTTCCTAAACTTGAGTTAATTTTCTGAAGTTGTTTAAGAAGGTTTGACGACTCTGAAGACTTGTTTAATAATCCTTCAAATAAATCAAATTAAAAGATTAATAAATTAAATAAAAAAATAAGCTCTTAAAAGTTTGGCTTGGCAATCAAAAAAAATTAAAGATCGAACTAAATAAAGCCGAGAGAAAATTTTACATGATTACTAACTCAACTTTTAAACCAATATGATCTCTGAGGTTACTCTTCAAAACCCAATACATTGTTTAAAAAAATGAGTTAAAATCAGCAAAAACAGGCACAGAAAAAAGTGTCCTCATATAAAAAAAACATAAAACGGTAAAAATTTTGCATCCATGCCACTGAATTTCATTACTTCAAATGTTACTGACTGAATTTACCTTCAGTCTTCCTTCTACCACACATGTGGCAGTGTCGTTTATTTTAGGCACGCTTTTGTTTATATCTGAAGAAAAGGGAAATATACCATTGAAACGTCATATTATACTGAAGTTTTTTAACTGGACTTAATCTTTTATATAACCTTTCTTTTCAAAATTTAACACGTTTACAGACTGCCCTGCCCTTATTTGACTATACATTCAAAAACAATCTCAAAGCAAAAATAATTAAAACAGACTTACGTCCAATGTTTTTCAAATCCTTTTCATATTTTGCAATCGTTTTGAACATGTTTCCCTGGAGTAAATTAACATCACGTGAGTCAGCTTTGTTGAAAACTTCGTTTAAAATAAAATCGTAGACAATTTTGGCTTGATCTAGATCATTTGAAAGAACTAGTTTTATAATTTTTCTAACGTAATAGATTAAGATAGCAGCTGGAATTCCTATAAAGGACAAAGCTTTCAAAAATTTCTCTGCTCCTGGATTGATTAACAAAAGATCGTCCAGTCTGAAATTTATAACGTTAAAAATTTCAAACAACACTTCCAAGATGAACTTATACGTTTTAATCAATTTCTTAGCTTCCAGATGTTCAGATTTATAGTTCTCTTTACTTAGCCTGTAAGCATGTATTATAGCTTGTGGGTACATAGTAGCAATTTTTAACACAAGCGATTTTGTAACAGATATTTTTGAGGAGTCTATAGTAACAAGTATTTGTGGAATCCATTTCAAGAACATCCATATTGGTATTTGTTCAGTCTGAAAAATGTTTTGTTATACACTGCATTCAACAGGGAGAAAATATGCTTTACCTCTGCGACAAATTGTTGTTGTTCTTCAGGGCTAAATTCTTGCTCCATCAAAACACAAGGAAAAAGTTGTTTGCCCTCCTTTGAATTAAATTTCATTGCTCTTAAAGTGAATAACATAAAGTCTCTGAAATACATTCTTCCTTGCTTCTTCGCAAAATAAGCTAATTGAACATAAGCATCAGCAACTGCCATGCAATCCTCTGAAGATTTGCAATTGTGAAGAAACGATTTCAGCTTGTTAGCTGCGTAGAATGCAACATCTTCTGCAGAGACAATCCGAGTTGTTTCAATCAAAGACATTAAATTTGATTGTTGATTCCGAAGTAGTTCTTCGTTTTCAGTAAGAAGTGAAGAAATGTAATCGAGATGTTTGAAAAAAGTAATATGGGCTAAAAGTTTAAGAAATGTTGTTCCGTCTTCTTGAAATATAGAAATAAGTGATTTAGTCCCTTGTAACATCACATTAAATTTTTGTTCCGAGTCATTAAGCATGTTTGATTTAATATATGCCAGTTTGCTTAATATAACTTGCGTTTTTAAAACGTTTCTGTTATTCAAAAGATTTAAATATTTTTTCGTCATGTAAAAATTATTTTCTTCAATTGCTGCTTCTAAAATATCTTCATCCAATTTGAGGCTGACATCATTTAATTTCGTTAATATGTTTGCAAAATCATCATTATCAAATGATTCAACTTTTTTTACTAATGTACGCAGAAATTGCTTTCGGTACAAAACCCTCTCTTCTTTTAATAAAATAGAAGGTAAATTTTCAAATGCTGTTCTGTTCCAATATTTTATTAAACCATCAATTTCCGTCACATTATCGCTAGTAATGTTATTCAACCCATTTAAAAATTTGTCGATATCAATCATATTTCGCAATCTTAATAATTTTGCGTATCTTAGATTTCCGTAAAACGAATCTAATTGTTGCCAGTATTCTAAAAAGTTGCTGATGTAAATTTTTAGATAGTATTCGGCCTCTTGCATGTCATTTTTAAAAATCCATAACATTGTAATTTCTTCAAGGTAATGTGTTTCTAAATAGGTCAGGTGATTCGATTCTAGGGTAGTATTGAGATTTGAGAGAAATTGATGTGTACAACTGTCAGTGAACAGAATATTTTTCAAGTGTCCACTTATATACCATGGCAGAAGTTTCTGCTGATTAAAACCTTGATCCCATAAATTATCCCAGGTTTCACTGGCGTTTTGTGAAACGATAGAATCTATAGAACTTACTAAATTAGTCCATTCTCCCAAATGTGCAAAGCACTTGAAATAAGATTCGTAATAAAAATCTTTTCTTTCAATAACGTCATCAGTTTCTAACAACTGCTGATACAAATCTCGAGCGTCCTTCCATTGCTTTTGCGACTCGGCAAGAAGAGCATTTTTGACTTCTAGGGGACATTGTGTTTTCTCGAGGAAAATTGATTTGACAACATCCCATTCCTCCATTTCTTTATATAGCCTAAAATACAAAGTGATTTAACATCATCGTTTACTAAAAATAATTAAATGTTTGATCAAAGTTGCCGGTGACTTTAAATTTAAGTTAAATAATGCAAAGACAATGGCTGTTTGAGTTGTCAACACTACAACCAGATGTGTCAACTCAAACAATCATTGTCACCTCAATCTTCCAGTAGAAAAATGACTTGTCAATTTTTAGATTGTATGAGAGTATTATGCTAGGAAAATTAATTGGCAACACTGATATTAGGTGATTTCAGGTGATGGATATGCTAGCGGTCGTCCCAATAATTAATGATAGTCAATGTTGCCAAATTAAAAATACATGGTCTATTTAACACCAAAAATTATTTTTGGTAACTCTTATCGGTAGATTATTCAACGTTGCCAAATTAATTTCAAAGTCATAGGCCGCATTTTAATCAAAAATTTGAATGAACGCATTACACTTACTCCGCCAATTTTATCCAAAGGTTTGTGTCTTTACTTAATTGGTTTCCACGTGATTTTTTTGGTTCGACTTCTGACACATCGTACGATATTAAATATTCTTCCAGAAGCAATGCTCCAAGACCTCTTAAACCGCTTAACTGAGAAACGCTTACTATTAATTCCGGGGGAAATATTATGGAATTCTTGCTAAATATCAACGCATTAAACAGAGCACGAAAAAGATTCCTACTAAATTCGGTTGAATTGTTAAATATTGTTTGTATGCCATTTGATATTTCATGAATGAAGTTGGCGTCACTTTTCCGTTTTTCCAAGATACTTTTGGAGAATTCTTCATATAAAATTTTCGAAATTTCTCTATCACGTAAAGCTAAAACTTGTAATGGTTCCAAAACAGCCTGAAGAGTAATTTGAACATCTGGTAAATCCCCTTTCCTGTAACTTCGATATATCGTCACTTTATTTTCACGTTCTTTAGCAAAATCTTTTCTTTGTTCGATTTTATCAATTGACTTTTTCACTTGCTGTTGGGCAAAATAATTTTGCACTTTAGATTTATCCCTGAGAAAGCGTCGTTTAGGGATACGATATTTGTAAGATAAATTGATTGAATTGGGGTTGATAAACGTTTTATCTTCATCAGTTTTAATGAATAGACTACTTTCACTCATCGTGTACTGAGAAAATTGTTTAGATCTAACGCTTTGTGTCGGTGTAAATTCAAGAGATGTTTGTGTCTGTCTAAGTTTAGTGGTGTTCGGGTCAAATGTTTGGAGACTGCCGCTCAAACTTCTCACAGTTTCGGCAAATAATGGAACAACAGATAAGTGTCGTGCGCGCCAATTTGTTTCTAAATAATAATCTTCAAAGTTACAATCTTCCAAAGGATGTTCAAAAAGCATTTTGTTATATTCATCCGCAATCTTCAAACGTTCGATCAAATAGTAACAGCAGTTTCCAAGAAAATCACTTTCGGTGCTTTCTTCATAAAAGTTCTTTAACAAATATGAAAATCTCTCCGCAACGTGATGAGGTAAATACGAATTGCTTTTCCAAAAATTGTAGACTCTTTCTCGAATTTCAGTGTCTTCATCACAAAGTCCTTGAACGAGAACAGTTTTGCAAGCATTTTTAACTTCCGGTGAAATTGTTCCGATCTGATAAATGGCCATTACTACGTCAAACATTTTAGTTCTGCACAATACGTTTGAGTTTGAAACATTTTTGCAGACAGATACAACAATCTTTGGAAAAAAGGGAACAGAGCTCAAGACATTCAAACATTTATGTACAATTTCCAAAGCTAAAAGCTGTACTTCTAAGTGATCATTTTCAATATAAGCATCCCATCTTTCCGTTTTAAAATCATCAATTTTGCTCATAACATCCCAGCGACTTAATAATATTCGCAAATAAATTATCTTTAATGGCTTAGGAACTCCATGAATTCGGCTTAGTAGACTGTTTAAGTAATGGTCGTTGACAATTGGCGGATAATGTAAAACAAGCCCTTCTAAAATAAGAGCATACTTATCTGGTTCACTAATTTTTTTTAACAATGCATGAACATTTCCACAAAGTTTTGGTAAATCATGACTAGTTTCATGTAGTATAAGTCCTAACGTTTCAGCACAAGGTTTATATATGGTTTTCAATTTGGTATTTCTAATTATGTTAAAAAGAGTCTTACAAAATTCGGTACTGTTTTCCTTCCATGGTAGAATTTTGTTGGCTAAAAATATTGAAGACACATGTATTCCGATTTCCACAGCTTTAGAAGTTGGTTCAATTCTCAGTTTCGAATAAATTAAATCATAAGGAACCTCAATTGAAGATTTCCATGCTTCAACTAAGAGACGAATTAGTTGAAGATGATATTTAAATACGTCTTGTCTTTCATTTTTAAGATTATTGATAAGGAAAGCGATAAGTGCTGATGCGAGTTGAATTTCCGATTGTGTTTCTAATGTGATCTCAGTACACCATGCTGCCAATATTGCAACCTAAAAAAATAATGCCTTACATGTCTACAATAATATGTATTAAATTACATACCACATCGGCTACAAAATAATTCATAATTTCTCCAGCACTTCGATCACCGATAAATTTTAGAAGTGGTTCCGTAAAATATTTGGAAAAATGTTTAAAAATGTGGATAGTGTTATCGATAACCTTCACCCAAAATATTTTAACATTATTTGAGGTGTTTTCATCGAGTAATAAAATTTTAATCCCCTGCATCCAAGCAGGTAACTCGTATTCTTCTTCACCATCGGGAAATTCAGTAATGCCAGTTCTAAACATATGTTCAATCAATCCGCAAACGTTAGCCATACATATGTGAGTAGAAATATCGGTACAGTCCAGTTCTATTTCACTTTGTACAAGAACCTCTTTATTCTTCTCGTCCTCATCTGACGTACTTCTTATAATACTGTTTGTAAAATCAAACCTTGTCACATCTTCAGATAACGAACTGTTGAAGACTCGTAGAGACTCTATATATTTCACAGACTGCGTTTCCGTAATTTCATTTTTTTTACGAAGCCTCATCTCATCCCTTATATTCAGTAAGATTTTTGTCTGTTTTGGAATGTTATCGAAATCTGCTTGAAATACGTAAGTTTTCTTCGTATCAATTAAGTTATTCCACAATATGTCTTTATTGTTTTCCTTACGTATAAATAACTTCGTATAAAAATTAGCGTCCTTCATTGAATTGCATACAATAGAAATCATTGTATTGTAAGAATGACATTTATACAAGCGAAATAATTCTTCATACTCTTTTGTACAATCAAGTGAATCCTTAATGGCATCCAAGGTAAACTTCAAAAGTTGAAGTAACAAAGTTTTATTGCTTGGCTTTTTGGGTAAAGCGGCTTGTGCTATTCGACTAATCTCAGTATCCTCACTTTGTAGTGGACTCCTCAAAAATAATATTTCCACCAACAAAAAATGTAGAATCTTATTAACCAAATTTTCAGTAGTGACAGGTTCTTTTAAAACAGATAGTATCGTGGAAATAGTTTCCGTGAAAAAATCTCCAAATGAAGCACTGTTACAATACTGAAAGAGTGAACTTGTATTAATAATCAATTGATATTTTTGAAAATCATCAAGATCTTCGTGTAAATATAAATGATATAATTTGGTCAAAAAAGATTTATGTTCTTCCTGATTATTCATAATATTCTCAGTTATGTAACGCTTCACATCTGAGGTATCGTCTCCTCTAGACATTCTAGCATAGATCTCCAAAATAAAAACCAAAAGCTCAGAAGCCCTAACTCTTGGTATTACATACAGTAGTTTATTTAAAATAAATGTTCTTTCTTCTGCAGGAATAGATGAAATTTCTGAGATCAATTTGACTTTAAAACATTCCAAGGAACATCTACAACAAATTAATTAGTTATTAGTAACTTATTTTCGCAATTATCTAAAAAAGAACAAAAATTATGACATGCATTAAAAACACAATGCAATAATAATGATGTATTTAGCTATAATAATTAAGTATACTTTATAATTTTATAGTTTTATTCCTCGAAAAAGTCATACCAAATTTAGTCTCTAAAGACTCATGCAAGTGTTTTAGTGTTGCCCTAACAACTATATTAGAAATGACTACAATGCTATCATAACGATGTTCATAAATAAATGTTCAGTACATATTTTAACAAATTTTTAATCAATTTGGTGGTTTAGAAAATTAGTACAAAAGTCTTGTATGCAAATAGTTTTAGGTTTTAGGAAGAAGTTGTCTCTCCCTCTTCGCCGCCTTGTCTCTGACCATAATTCACCCCCTTAAACTCTATTTCACGTACGTGATGCTTGATACATGAATACGATGTCATTTTCTCCAAATTTAAAGAAATTTCAATCAGGAGAGGAGAAACGTTAGAAGTAATACGGAATGTGTCAACTGTTAACCTCGAATGCTAACATGTCTGTACATTCCTTTTACTTAAATAAATATTTCCCATTCTTGTTTCAACAATAATATCAAATTTAATAATAAATTTGAAAAGTACAAAAATTAATAAAATTTTATAACGATTGAGTAAACTTTTTAGAAGAACAAATGAACACAAAATCCACAATAACTTAAACAAATTAATTCTATAATAAATAAAATAAACACTAACCTCAGACTGACAGTTTCATCAAGATTGTCCATAATATCACACAACAAATCAACTGTTTCAACCTTCAACTCAAATTCTTCTGTCCACATCAAACCTGTTTCGTAATTCAACACCCAAAGTAACCATTTCTTCAAATTATCGGACTGTAGCCTACTAGATTTAATAATTGGGGTTGAATGTTTCAATAGCTTAAATCCCATTTGAATGTTTGAAATGCTTTCGTTGAAATATTTTTCAAAAATATCCCAATTTGTTAACAGGGTTTTAACAACATATTCATTGCGAGTTTTAAGATGTTTTCTGAGACTAGTGTAAGCCAGAATGTACACAATAAATTCCACAGTCTTGCCAATTTCGTATTTTTTTTCCAAGCAGAAAGTGAAGAAAACATCAAAACTTGTAATAAGTTTACGAATTATGGTATCCTCGAATATAGTGAGTAAGTAAGTTCCAAAATGTATTGGTTGTTTCCAATTTGTAGTCTGAACTTTGTAGTCTTTATGTAAATAATCAATAAAAACTTTAAATTCATTTTGATCTTCAAGTGCATAATTTAAAACAGAAATGCAATAAGACAAAGTGGTGTTCTGAAGATCATCTAAATAGATGATTTTATCTTCTGCTAAATGGATGAATTTATTCAACAATCTTGCAACACTTCCAATAGTAAATTTATCGAAAGTAAATTGTTTCAAAGGAAACGTCTGTAAAATGTTAATTCCTTTTACAATGTTTCTCTGTTTTAATGTAACATGATCATTTAAATCAAATTCATCATTAAAATTTTCTGTTATGTACTTGAATAGAACATTTACAACTTCACAGGCTGGCCTTTCTGGCAAAGTGTTAAAAAATCCTTTTAACAAGACACTTTCGTTAATGTCGTCTTGCGGCTGAAAACATTCAAATCCCAAAGTTTGTCGGTTAAATATAAAGTTGACCAACAGATCCCAAAGATGTGAAGTATAAAACGGATTTATATTTTCATATATAGTAAAAAGTTGCAAAATTTTCAGAACAGCTTGTGAACGTTGCTTGTCAAAATGTAGTTTTTCGAATGTTGTAAATGTCCACATTTTTGTCTCAATTAATGCAAAAGCTCGATCTAATGTAGTCGTTGACATTTTCTCGAGAAAGTAGCGGATGGATTTTGTGCAAGTCTCACTTAAAGTTGATGATAACTTATTGTTAATAATAAAAATGGATCCGTCCAATGCACATAATAATGCTTGCATCCATTTAATTGGAGTAATTTCCTCATTGCTTTTTGAATATTCTAAAGTTGGATGGTGAATCAAATACGTCTCGTAGATATTTTGAACCCAGTCGGTATTAAAATATGTGTGTATAAAATTGTGCATGTTTGTACATCCTTGACACTTAGATGAAATTGAACAAAATATTTCCATACACTTTGCTCTACAGTGGTCATTTTTTGAACCTGTCTGTTTCAACAACCAGACGACAACATCGGTTAAAGTGTCTCCATTAATATCACTTGGAATTCTTCGTTGAGCGTCAACGTTATTAAATAAATCAGATTTTTCCACAAAACCTCTTTCTAGTCTACTTAAAACATTATTAATTTGTATAACTAAGTTGTTGTCGATTCCATCATTTTCTAAACTCGATAAGCTTTTCACAAATATATGAAGAATTTCTATCCAAAACATGCTTAGAAGGGACGATTCTTCTCGAATATCTCTGTATATATTATTAAAAATAAGAGCGGCACCTAATTTTTTATCAGGATCAGGATGTAAGCTGTAAAACCGCATCTTTTTCACCAAAATTTTTATGTTGATTGGATCTTTAGACAAATTCTTTTCATTTGATTGCTTAATAGTCCATTTAACAAATTCACTTATACATTTCCCAGAAAAATCACGTAAAGCCGTGTCCGTTGGATGAGTCATACTTTCCTAAAAATAAAAAAAAAAAATAAAGGAGGCACTTGAAAATACAAAGTTAAATAGTTATTTTTTGCATTAGCTTTCTAAAATGACTATTTTGCGAATTCAAAACATTCCGCAAAATAAATTATTTTTAGAGAATTATGTACAGTCGAACAAAATGAAAATGACGCCTCAATAAACCAGCCCCTGCTGGATGGCGATTCTTCTAACCGCAAGCAGACAGGGTCGTAAATTATCAGATTGCAGTTTCAACATAAATTCCTCTTGGAGCCGGTTTACAGAAAGCCAAATTAAAATTTAATTCAGATTTAAACTAATTCGAATTAAATTGCCATTTACTTTGCATTGACAAACGTCAAATTAATTAAATGAAGATATTGAATTTTTTAATGAAAAATTTAAAATTATGCATTAATAATGACATTGACAAATCATTATTAACTTAATATTTTTTTTAACTGTTTTTTCAAAATAAAATTAATTAACATAATTTTTGAACGAAATAGGTTTTCTCTATTTTAAACTAGAGTTTATGTAAAAAACAAATGAATTAATCTATTGTTTATTTGCGAGAAGACAAATAAATTCCACGTGTGCCTTTACCACGATTGGTGTAATTCTTTGAGCAGAAGCGAAATTAAAATTTAATTCAGAATTAGGTAAACTAATTCGAATTAAGTTGCCATTTGCATTGACAACCGTCAAGTTTAAAATTTAATTGCGATTAACACGTTCTGTAAACCGGCCCTAAGTTTTCTATTAGTTTTGCAATTGTCATTGAATACGAATCAAAATTATTTATTTAATGAAACCAAAAAAAAACAGCAAAATTATTTCAAATATTTTAGTTCTGCTTTTATTTTTTGATAATTGTAATACTTTTAAATTAAATAAAAACGTTTAGTTTTATAAAAACACAATTTAACAAAAACCA